CCATTGATATGCCGCCAACAAGTGCTATGGGGTTGGGCAGAGTCAAAGCAGGGCCTTTGACTGGCGAAGAGGCGGACTTCGGCCAAAGCACCGGCGGGAGGGAGCCGAAATTGATCGCGTTCTTCTCGATGTTGTCACCTGATAGCTTCAAATCAGAAGTCGGCGCTCAAGGGACCAAATCAGAGGACGTAGTGGGAATGACGGCGGCTGAGATTGGAAGGCTCAAAATATCCGCTGAGTTGAGACCGGATTCGCCAGCAACGGTCGAGGGCTCGACGACCAAAGGAGAAGACGGGACTTGGATTTCACCTTCTTCCAGGCCGTGAGACGATGGGAAGTTGTTCAAGAAACCCAAGAGGGCCTTTCTAACGTCCGGTTGCGCGAGGACCGAGACGAAGTCCGGCGAGGGGGTAGTCAAAGAAGGGGTGGGAGCTGCCGGACACGGGGAGATCCCCAAGGGGGAGGGGGTGACATGGTAGGTAGGACAGAAAAAGGTGAAGAAAAAAAAAAGGTAGAGGCTTGCCGAAGCAAGCCGCAGACGAAGGCGGCCGGCGGGGCGCAGCTAGGGGGAGGAGGCGGTGGTCGGAAAAATGAGGGAGGGGTTATCTAGAGAGGGAGAGTTAGAGAGAGGAGAGGGCAAGTTTTCACTTTATAAGCCCAATCCTATAGATTATATATCTGTTTACTTGTATTTACTTGACTGTACATTTTACTTAAGATACCAACACACCGTAATACATAAAATTTACAAATCAATTCGAAGCCTGACATGAAGACACATTAATATTACAAAACCATTTAATCTTGCTAATATGTATACAAATGATTCTACTATCAAATGAGTCCCAAGTAAATGTGTGGTTCTAACCGAGGTTCTGCACACGCAACTAACGGCTTAGCCAACTGCAAGCCACCATCCGACTCGGACAGGTCGACTTTCACCCCATCAAGTGGCGTTGTAAAATTGAAACTCTGAAGAAGTCGAGCTAAAAGCATTGTCGACATGGTAGACCCGAGCACGACTCCCGGGCAACCACGTCTTCCAGTACTGAATGACAATACGTTAAGCTCGTTATCAACTAGCACAACTTCTTTCTCTATTACATTCACGATATGGCGCTCAGGTTTATATTCGAGAGGGTCGTTCCAAACCCTAGGGTTACGTCCTAAACCCATCCGGCTCAACATGATTTGGCTCCCTTTGGGGATTAAATAGCCGCCAACTGTAACATCGTCACTCGAGACGTGTGGGGGAACGAAAGGGGCCACTGGGTGTAGACGAAATGACTCTTTTATGCAAGACTTTATATAGTTTAGTTTCGGCAGATCGGATTCTTGGACTAATCTGTCTCTACCCACAACTTGGTCCAATTCTTCATGCGCCTTGTCGAGTATATGTGGTTGATTAATAATCTCTGCAATACCCCACTCAACTGCATTTGCCGGATTATCGACTGCAGCTATCATTATGTCCTGACAATTTATGCACGCACAGTCAGTCGTAAAGTGAACTATAACATTGCAAAAATGTCGTTTTCTCCTGCAAATCAATTTAGCATGCATTCAATAATTCAAAGTTGAGAAAACGGTAGAGTTAATCAAAATTTTATGGTTAATAAATCAACTTACAATAATTTGGGCGCTTATCTCTTGAACGGATAATATGCGATTGTTTTCCGAGTCCTTGAGATTAATCAAGACATCAAGAATATCCTCCTCCGTCTTCTTAATCCCTTGTCGCCACATTTCCACTCTGTTCATAATCTCGGGATCTTGATACTTTCTCACATTGTGAATCGCATTGCTAATGAACTTTTTGTAACCATCAAAATCGAACACCTCCAACCACGGCACATAATCCGCAACTGAAAACCCGTACAGATATTTCAGAATAGTAAACAATGCCTCGACATGCTCGATTTCCTCTTTTCCCGGGCCCCCATCTTCCATCCCGGGCCCAAAAAATCTCTTACCAAAAACCATTCTCCGAGTCACGTTGGCACAGTAGTGTTGGGCCACGGCCCGAATATTCACAAGCCCGTGATTGCTCTCCCGGCACTGGTTGTAAGCATATCTCACGAGATGATCGTCTTCTTGTAGTCTTTTTCCGTGGAGAAATCGGTGCATGGTGGGTGAAAGGATTTTGGTGCTCATGATTTTTCGCATCTTTTTCCATTGATGACCGGTGGGTGAGAGGACGGTTGCCAGGTAGTTGTCGCTGGTAAGTTTTGCGGTCATGCAAAAAGGCCTTGACGCGAAAATTTGGTCGTGCTTGCGTAAAAACTCTCGAGCGAGCTCAGGAGAGGCGACGGGGATGACGTGGGTTCTGCCGAGCCGAATGCATGCAATTTCTGTGTTGTTTTCTTGCATTTGTTTGTGTATCCATCGAAAAGCAGGGCGATTTTTACTCATTTCGGGCAGCGAGCCGATGACGGGCCAGC